TCCATCAACATATGAGAATTCACATGACATTTTCACACTCAAGCAGCCTAGTATCACTTATTAGAATCCACACTGGAGAGAGGCCATACAAGTGTGACAAATGTGGGGAAACTTTCTGAGAAAAGGCTTTTAGATCATCCTAGGAACCCTCCAGTCACTGCTGAAAGCACAAAGGAGACAAACCATACGACTGTTAAGAAAGAGGGAAGGCTTTCATCAGGTCTGTGAGGAACCGTGTGAACCATATCCAAATCTTCCAGACTGAAGAGAAAAGCTGCAGCTCTGACCAGTGTGTGATTTTGAGAAAACCTGCTCATATATATATATATATATATATATATATATATATATATATATATATATATATATATATATATATATATATATATATATATATATATAAGTTGGTTCTGACTCGTGTTAGCAACGCACAGATAGTCAGACAGTCAGACAGTTTTTAATATTTTCATGGCTGCTGTAAAGTAAAGTGAAAGAAAGGAAGGAAACTGGAAAATAAACAGCTTTTTCCTCTGTTATTTTTGAACGTTTGTTCATGCTCGTCTCGTGTCTCACATTTGCATCAAGGAACTTTAGAAATGAAACAAATACACACAAAGGGCTGAGAAACTGAATAAGTCTTTTAGTAAGTAAGTCAGTCTTTATTTATATAGTGCTTTTCACAGACATTTTTGTCATAAAGACACTTTACAGAGCATTATTCAGCATTATTCATTCACTATACCTGGTGATGGTAAGCTACTATTGTAGCCACAGCTGCCCTGGGGCAGACTGACAGAAGTGCGGCTGCCATGCCAGTCGGCACCATCAGTCCCTCTGACCACCACCATCACTCACGCACACATCACTTTCATACTAGGCAATGTGGATGAAGTGTCTTGCCTAAGGACAGTTATTCCCACTGGCACCCCACTGTGGCCCCAGTGGTCTCCCATCCAAATACTAACCAGGCCCAGCCTTGCTTAGCTTCTGCGATCAGGGATCAGGCTTTTACAAGCCGGTATGGCCACAGTGTGAGCTTCTTTCACGCTTTCACATGAACAGGTGAAGCATTAAATGTTGTTAAATGGAGTTAATGTGATTAAGTGATTTTGCGCCACCCTCAGGCTGCATCAGGCGCAGCACGTTAAGATGTTTCATCATGAAGTATCTGATGTACTGTTTTCATTTGCTAATTTGACAAGAACTATTCTGACTCCAATCAAACTTGTGTCTGACATGATTACAATTAATACTCTGGCTTCAGAATGAAGTCAATTCAATTGCACATATGCCTATAAGTTGATTGGTGTTGTATGTTGGAAACGATAAGAAGGTTATCTAAAAATATAAGTGAGTGACCTAAATTCACCATCACCATAAAAAAGACATATGTCTGCCTCATACTTAATAAATCTGTCAAATACTTCATGTCCAGTGCATGTACGTTTGTCTCTTTCACAAAAACACTGCAGTGTATTTCATCATGTCTGAACAACACATTTGCGGTAATGAATGTTTATTATAATTTATTTACATGGAACATGTACATGGTGTTAGAGTCCAAGCACTTTTAGCCCAGGCTCAACCAGGGATGGTGTCTTAACTGGTCCAAACAGATCCTCTGTTTTGGGTCCAGTGCAAGACAGGCCTGGAGGAAGTCACTGCACTCTGCAAGAACAAACACACAAGACAAGTTTAGAGTGTAGACTTCATGGTTGTTCTTCCCACTGTGAGTGAAGTTCTTTAGTAACAAAAATTTCTGTTGATTATATTTAAGATGTGAGAAAGACTGCTGTTATTTGTGCCATTAAGAATCACATTTCCCAATTCATATGGTCCGTTCTTTAGATACTGGCATTTGTAGGCTGTTTAAGGGTGAACTGTGTAATTTCTCTTTTCAAATGGAGGTCCACCACCTGCTCGTCTCTATGGAAATGTTATGACTGCCTGGAATGTTCCACAGTATGCCATATAACTTGCATATATTCAATTACTGTATTTTCCGGGTTATTAGTCGCTCTGGATTATAAGGCACACTGTCATTAAATTGTCTATTTTCAAGCTTTTTTCACAAATAAACTGCACCGGACTTTAAACAAAACACAACAGTTGGATGGGTCAGTCGGACTTTGTTTGTGGTGTTCACGGTGACTCTGGGCTTTGTTCAGTTGTGGCGTGTAGGGAGGGTGCTGTCTGGGACCGCTGGATTGACAGTGTGTTTGCAGCGACTCAGTTGTTCAGTTGTTTCCAGAAGTGGCACATTGCACTCGCTTTTTCGGTTCGTTCCTTCATTCCGTTCCTCGTCCGCGTGGAGTGATGAGTGTGTCTGCAGGTGTTTTTCGCTGCGCGGTCGCTGTCTGCTCCATGCATGTTTGCGTGCGCTGCGGGTGGTGCAGCTTTGTAGTTTACTGAAGTTGTACTGGGACACCCGAGTAGATTCGTGTATAGGGCGCTCTGGATTGCAAGGCGCGCAGTCGTTTTTTGTTGGGGTTGGAGGCTTAAGAGCGTGTCTAATACCCCGGAAAATACGGTATATATAGATTCACTGCTCAAAAATATGGTGAAAAACATGCATTAATGTATCGACACTGCACAGATCTGACTTGTAACTTGGTCTGGTGGTGTCCCCTTATGCAAAAGAGCAGACTTGCACACTCTCCCTTGAAAAGGTAATCCCAGTGCACCTTTAAAGTTTTATCTAATGACATGAACACCAAATCATATCTAAATAATGTGTGTATTTCTCTGCTTAGATTGTTTTGTTGTAAGCAGGACTAAAGCAGGACTAAAGCAGGTCTAAAGCAGGTCTAAAGCAGTGTGGCTTTGTTGGCATCACAAAAGATGTGCCTATGCTCTTTGACAACCTGCAGTAGATACTGTTTCTCATCTTCATTCTTTGTTAGGCTACTGTTCAAATCTTGAATAAGCTTCACCCCCATTTCAGCAACATCACTGACTAGTTTCCTGGACTACTCAATTTTACAGTGGACAGTGACTATGAACAGTGACAAAGGTTTTGCAGCCTCATCTCCCCCTGTCCTCACTGCTACTCACTGTTATTATATCTATAAACTCACTGCTGCGTATCGCATCGGGACTTACATCTGCCTCACTATATAATAGATATCAGTAGATAGTCATCGGCTGTGGCCCAGTTTGTGCAGGTGTGAGTGCAGAACATAGAACCCTAGGCAATCGTGTTTGAGCACAGCACGGTTCTAAAGTCCTAGTGTGAGTGCGCCCTTAAAAAAGAAAAAGTAATGCAATAGTTACTTTACTAGAAACTTTTATAGTGGAGTAACACAGTTACTATTTCAGTTACTTTTTTGGAGAAGTAACTAGTAACTATAACTATTTACTTTTTTTAAAGTAACGTGCCCAGCACTGCTGAAAACTCAAAATTAGTAAATTTTCAGGAAAATTCATGTAGTTTGAGCGGCCTCGAAAACATCTCCTTTTTTCCCAAATTTCTTCCTAAATCATCTTTTGGATGCTAAAACCTAATGCAGACTTCTAATCAAGAAACTTTTACCTTGCTTTGATGGACCACCCTAATGGGGGTATTTAAAATATTGTTAAAATGCAGCTTTGTATTGAAATACAGTGAGAATGGATTAAGTGTCTCTTCCCCTCCATCTGAAAATAATGTCAGTACCGATTAATCTGCAGACTGTGGATAAATGTGTTTCATTATAAAAAGAACAAGACCCATATATTTGGTGCAATAATGGACTTATTAATTTGATGTAATACAACCATTTATTAACTAATGTGAGTTTAGGAGATGTAAACAGACTAATAAAGGATTACTGAAATGTGTAAATGAAACAAAACACAACTCCAGGTATGTTTTTGATGAGGTAACAGCAATCCAACACGGCTAAAAGCTCGCAAGAGTCACTTTTGCATATTTTATAATAATACCTTTAAAACTGGAGCAGACCGCAACTATTTTGAAGAGTTCTTGATAATATTCCGCTGCCTTGACTAAGCTGTGTCTGGGTCAGGGATTGACGTCAGTGGCCATAACAAACTCTCTGTCGCCCCCATCTGTCGCTCTAATGAAAGTACATAAGCTGTGAGCTGTCTGTCACATTACAAAACAGTCTGCTACAGTACACAGAGTACTTGGATTCATTTATACACGGAACATGGTCATAATAGGATTTAAACACAAGGGATAAGGTGATTTGATTGAAAAACTATTGAACAACATCATTCACCCTTTATTATATTGTATGAAAATTTGTGGCCGAAACAAAATAAAAATTAAACGGTTGGCCGAATACCGAATCTGAATATTAAATGTGGTTGTTAAGATTTATAATTTTTTTTAATATTGCATAAATAGCCTAGAATAAATTTTATACATGTTTTTAAAAGAAAGTAAATGTTTATTTAATATTTCCAGCAAGTATACCAGTTAGTTTTTTATTCATATTAAGCTAAGCCTTCCAACAAAACAAAAATTCCTGAAAAACTTTGGCACATTAAAGTGAATAAACCCACAACAAATGAATTATTGTCCTTTTGGCACAGTAGATAGGCTAAGTGTCAGTTAAATGTTAAATTAAAGTGTGTTTGTAACATCTGGCACAAAATAATTTGTTTCTAAAACTATTTTTGTTTTTCTTGCTTCTCTCCCAATGTCCTATCCTAATCTATATCTTATACATTTTCCCAAACTTTTTCTATTAATGTCTTTGACCCATTCTGTCATATAATTACATCACTTTGTTTTCATTATTTGTGTGGCAAAAATGCAGAGTATATTGGGAAAAAGGTGGGCTTACTCTGGTTTGTCCATTTGAAAATTTAACATCCAATTTCCACTAGTCAGTAATAGTCAGTAAATGTTTTATGTGCTGAAATAGTTATTTGAGCTGATTATTAAGATGACTGAAAAAACACTACTGTTATACATATATTTCAAATTTAAGGAGACATCAAAAAGGCATTTTGAAAACCCCACATCCTATAAAAACAGCCCACACACAGAGTTCTCTTGAAAGGCTTTATTGTATCTCTAAAATAAATAGACATCAACAACACCTGTGACACTTTTGCGTTTTGAATCCAGTATCTCATCTGAACATAGTATTTCTACGCTCGTGCTACTTTGTGCTCTGGTATTTGAGCAGGACTGGATAAGTGGTGCCGATGTGTTTCTGGTTGTAGTGGTGGCACACGATCTCCACGTCGTACAGGCTGAACTGGACTTTGACGCGTTCGTTTGGAGATGAGAGGAAACAGAGAGTGTAGAGCGCAAACTCAAACTCGGGACTGACGCCGATGAAAATGCTGCCTTTGGGTTTGATGCCATTCTTCCAGCTGAACTGCAGGGCCAGGATGTGCTTATTCTCATCAGGCTGAGAAGAGAGAAGAAACAGACAGAGTTAGGAATGCACCGATACCGATACTGGTATTAAATATTGGCACTAAAGTTGAAAGATTTGCTGGATCAAATATCAGTTATCAAATATCAGTTCAGCCGATATCCTGGTTGGACATACAAATTGATGTAATAAGACTATTGGTCATAGTTGCCCAGAAAGTCTCATAATGCTTGAACTTTTATTTATACAAAGCTGTTCTGTAGTTATTTAAGAGATTAAAAAAACAGATCCATCACACATTTGGATCAGCTCTGTCTTATATGACTTCAGTTTAAAGCAGGGTTGGGCAAACTACGGCCCAGAGGCCATATGCGGCCCTTTAATCTTTTTAATGTAGCCCGCTGAACTTGAATTATAATAATAATTTTCCTTGTTTTAAAAGTAATTTCAATAAATAGTAACTACCATGGGACTTGAAAGACAGATATTTTGTTGTGATGCTTTGTAATGATTTTCAATTATGGGATAGTGGAAAAATAACTCACAATATTGTCTTCAATGCAGAATCCATGATTAAAATAAACTCAGTCTTTTACACAAACACTAACCAGAGTATGACCAGGAACAGGGGTGGGCAAACTACGGCCCAGAGGCCATATGCAGCCCTTTAATCTTTTTAATCTGGCCCGCCAAACTTGAATAATAATAATAATAAGTTTCCGTGTTTTAAAAGTAATTTCAATAATCAGTAAATACTGTGAAACTTGAAAGACAGATATTTTGTTGTAATGCTTTGTAATGATTTTCAATTATGGGATAGTTCAATAACATGGGATATGTTTTCTACATATCCCATGTTATTTTTTTCACTTATGAGGTGGATTATAAAAAACCTCCATCCATCTGCTCCTGGTCCGGCAGTTTTGTCAAATTTTAGAACCCTTTGTGGCCCACGAGTCAAAAAGTTTGCCCACCCCTGATTTAAAGGCTAAAAGCTGTATTCAGTCTCTGCACTGGTATCTGTTGATATGAGGTATTGACAAATACTAAAAGCCATAGGATCGCAATCAGTATAAGAACTGAAAAAGCTGGATTGGTGCATCCCTGTTATACAGTATTGTTTTAAAAGTGTCTATTTTGCATTAGTTTTGTTATTCCAAGCCAAACTAAATGAAATGTCTAACTACTACTAGTCATAGAAACGTCACTGTTCACATTAAGAATGCAGAAGGTATTATACAAGATAGACAGAAGATTACTGTTGAACATTTCAGCAGTGCAATACGTTTCTAAGATTTTAAGACCCTCCATCAAAAAGTTACACAGTTAACCATTAAAGTATATTAAATTCATGGAAAACAAGAGAAATAGTAGCTTGCTTCAAAGTTGAGTGCATGGTGATACAAACTGTAATAAAGAAGAAGATAATAATTCATATCTTTTTGTGTAAAATAACTTCAATAAAGAAAATAGTATCAAAATATGATTATAAGCAAGCTTGGGTTGTATATTTTTACTATTGTAGCAGGACTAGTCAAACATAAGAGTGAAGAGTTGTGCAGTACCAGGGGTGAGTTGGCGTTGACGCTGTAGCCTTTATAGTCGATGTGTCCCAGCTTCTCCTGCAGATAGAGCTGGATCCAGTTGTGGAAACCAATGACCGTGCGAGCTCCTCTCGTCTCACCCACAAAAACGTGCTCAAAACCTGAAGAGTCGGGCCTGGAACAAGACACATAAAACTAAATACAACCAAGTCTTTAGTGGAAAAATAACTCACAATATTGTCTTCAATGCAGAATCCATATTAAAATAAACTCTGTCTTTTACACAAACACTAACCAGAGTATGACCAGGAACAGGGGTGGGCAAACTACGGCCCGGAGGCCATATGCAGCCCTTTAATCTTTTTAATCTGGCCCGCCAAACTTGAATAATAATAATAAGTTTCCGTGTTTTAAAAGTAATTTCAATAATTAGTAAATACTGTGAAACTTGAAACAGATATTTTGTTGTAATGCTTTGTAATGATTTTCAATTATAGGATATTTTAATAACATGGGATATGTTTTCTACATATCGTTATCTTTTCTACGTATAGTCGTGAGACAGGTTAGCTTTACCCTACGGATGATGTGTTGTTGCAATAGTAATTCTGCATGTTATTTTTTCCAGTTATGAAGTGGATTACAAAAAAACTCCATCCATCTGCTCCTGGTCCGGTCCTTTTGCCAAATTTGAGATCCCTTTGTGGCCCACGAGTCAAAAAGTTTGCCCAGCCCTGACCTAGAATATGAATTTTATGAACAATTGAAGTAAGTTGGGGGAGATGGAGTTTAAGTGAAAAAAGCATTTAAGTTAAAACCTCAAAAAAGTTGGTTGACATGTAGCTCAGTTGGTAGAGCGTTTGTTCTCTGATCCAAAGGCTGGTGGTTTGAAAACCGCTTTTGACATAAAACATCACTGAGTGGTCAGATCCGCTGACCCACAAGTTTCCGTAGGGATTCCAGCTCCCACAGATGAATGCTGTCGTTGTGTCCTTTCGGCAAGACACTTAACCCACCTCGCCCTCAGTGTTTGCATACACTGGTGTATGAATGTATGTGTGAATGCGTGAGTGGTTCGTTGTTGTGAGCTTTGAGTGCACTGAAGGTGGAAAAGCACTTTATAAAAATGTGGCAATTTTTTTTACCATTTCCATAATATGTCTCCTTTAATCTCAGGGTGTAGATGCTCTATAATAGTGGTCATCATATTGTCATTGGTTATATAACAGTGGTACCTGCTGGAGCCTCTCCGTGCGTACAGCTCAAACCAGATCCTGTACAGCTGCTCCTTGAACTCCTCCTGGTCCTCAGGGGACAGGTTCTTCTCCACCAGGTACTTATGAGCAATCTGAAACACACTATTTGTTACCTGTATTTCTAGATAAGTAAGAATATATTTTGTAATGCAAATTTAGTACACTGTAATCTCCTACATAAAGAAGTTTCTCCATCACTTTTCCTCATTAAATACTTAAAATACTTAAATACTTAAAACTCTTGAGAACTATTCTGTTTCAAGTTTAATATAAGCATGCAAGTTTATTACTTTTTCTATTCATGAGTAAAGTACATTAGACTAGACCCATTACCTTCATTGTGGGGGTTTGCATTATTGAGTCGAGAAACTTGTGGTTCTCAGCCTCTTCTTCTGGAGTCACGATTTCCGGCTCTCCAGTGTCACTCTCATAGTTGTCCAGCAGGGAGATAAAAGCTAAAAAAAAATGCGGAACAGTTTTACTGTCTGAAAAGATACACAAACTACAGTAACTCTTGTAGGTCTGCTTACAGTGTTGAACATAAATTCATAAATAAATACAGTATACACACTTGAACGTTCCAAAGTATGTTCTCAGTCTTTCATCAACTCAATGACAGTTTTTCTTACGTTGCCAAATACATGGTTAGGTGGAGTTACATGCTTGTTTCCACAGAGACTGCTAAAAATTGTATGCAATTTTAAAGTACTGGTACATTACAGACATATTTCCGTGGAGAAAAGAAGGTTTTGGACCCATAGCCTAAAAACCTGGATAGAGCCTCTTTAAATAAAACTATCTATAAACAGGAGCGGCTCTCTAAATTCAAACAGACTCTGTGCCCCCTCTGTGGCCTGTAGTTACACAACACTTCACTGTTCGTCATAAGATCAACTCTAGTTAATACTGAGAGGCACAGATTGATGATAACACTGAAGATGTGTAAAACAGGCTTTCTCTAAATGTATTTATGTATTTATTTTTTTATCAAAAGACAGCAATGACAACAATTAACAATTATTCATGGATTCAAGAATACAGGGTTAATATCTGTACATTGCTTTATATTTACTAATGTATAAATAACATTTATAGCTGTTATCTTGTTGTCCTGTCTTGCACAAATTACCATATTTTTCTCTGTACCTGAAGCTATACTGTACCACTGTTTACCCTGGTTTAGCTCACAGTGGTGTATTTGTGGTATGCTTAAGGGTGAAGGTAAAAAAAAACAAAAAAAAACATTAAATGACAATAACAGATAAGTTGGTGACATTTTATGCTATATTAAAAAAACAACAAAAAACTATAATATACTTAAATTCAGACTCACCTAAAAATGTCTCCTTTTTGAAAATGCTTTCGTCCACATACGTGAAAAGAGGAAATCCAGCTGCATCATTTTTGTCATCGCTGCCCATCGTGTCTCCCACCTTTCCCTGTTTAGGAAGTTCAAAAGACAGCATCAAATCAGAAACTATAAAGAGATGTTTTGAAAAAGACTCTCATAGAAATGTTTTTTTTATTTGTTCATTACACTACTTTCTTTTTAGGGATTGCCTATCATATGGTGATTTTTCACACATTTTTATGCCAGATGCCCTGCCTGTCGCAAACTTTAACTGTGTCTAATACTTTGACAAAGTAGGGCTACCACCAGCTATGGAGTAAACAAATAATGAGCACAGTATAGTGGTTAGAGTCTGTTTTATTACACTGCATTATTATTATTATTATTTTACATTGCAGCTTCCACTGTCTATACCTAGAGCAAACACAAATACAAAATGGTCTCCAAAAGTCTAGATAACTCTTTTTTTTTTTATTATTATTGTTATTTCTAAACATTCTTTGATGTCTAATGGACTTGGATGCAGTAGGGTGCATGGTGAACCTGTAGTGAGATGCGATAGTCCTTCCCGGGCCGCAGTCGGTTGGTGTCATTGTCCCATAGCTCCTGCACCATGGCTGAAAGCTCTCTGTCGCTCTCAATCATCATACACCTCTCTGCTGGGCTTCTCTGCTCTGAACTGCTAAGCTTTTGGTTGGAGGGCAAACCTCTGTAGATGTAGATGAGGAAGAGTTTGACCTCAGTGCTTTATCTAAACAGAGATGCACATCTGAATAAAACCACTTAGTAAAATCATTTAAATACATTGCTCCAGACTGTGTATGTTATATCTTGAGGGTTTCTGCTTCCTGTTTTTTGGCAACATTTTGAGGACTTTTCAGAATCTCAGAATTACTCAGAATATATTGTTATGGCAAAGTTGGAAGCTCTTCTTCCCAGAAACCCATGGACAGGATTCAGGCAAAGGTGAAGCAGGAAATACAAAAGTGACAATAGATTAACTCACTGTGGCTACATTTGACAATAGAGTATTGTTACATCAGAACTATATTAGTAAAGCACAAGTAAATGTAAGAAGTATAATTTGTTCAAAAGGTTACTTGTAGTAATGGAGTAAATGTGACTCATTACCCAACTCTGGCTTTGTGAAATACAATGGGCTTTGGTCCATTTAACTCAGCACAATGGTACGAAAACATGGCTGGACAGTTGTAAATCAAATACTGTATTACAAAATTTCAAATGACATCCAATGCTATATGCATTAGATATACAGGTAATAGATATGGGGCACAGGTAAAATTGTAATAGTTTAAAATGAAAATGTTTAAAAATACCTTGTTAATTAATCAGTAGTATATTTCCCTATTGCCCACCATTTGGGAATATGACATAAACATATTCTAAAACCCATTCAACATTCTAAAACAAAATATTCTACCTTTTCAGTTATAAAAATTCCTACAAATGGCGTCCACAACAGAAAAAAAAAATAAAATAAAAAAAAATCACGTGACTGAAGCCTATGAATACATGACATTTAGACTCTCACCTGTCCAGTCCAGATGTTGCCTGTCAGTGCGGCCTTTGGTTCGACTGATATTTCCAGATGTTGTTAAAATGCTGTTTGGTTCCTGTGTGCCTTTCCTGTCCCTTCTCGGGCATAGTCCCAGTGTGGGGGTCTGTGGAGGTCTGTGGAGGCTGAGGGGGCGACGGAGCACGAGGCCAGGACTGGAGCACAGGGGGCCGTTTAAAGGGATGTTCCGTGTCAGCAACTCTCCTTTCAGACCTTTGTTATTATAGGATTGTATTGTCTCTTTGCATGGCCACAGGACCTCTGCTTTAATCAAGGGGTAAATATGGGTCAAATTATACCTGATTGGAGAAATGTAAAGTGGCAATCGTTTGGTTTCAGATGCTACAATGTCATGATACAACTCTGAAGTGGAGGGAAAGAGTCTGGATTCCCTATCAATTTTTTTGTAAAAATAAAAAAAAAATCCAAAGAAAAAAACTGACCTGAATATATTAGTGACAAGAAACTAAAAGGTACCCACTTCTCTGGTTAAGGGTGAGCCACCTGATTGTTTCAAAATGCTATTGCTTTGCCTGGATTGTTTCACAGTATGGAATTATATGTGGCTATGTGTAATTCCTCAGTCTAGGTAGGTTTCATTGTAAAAGAGGAATCAATTCTGTCAATTGGGCAAACATTTTTATTAAAACAAATCCTTAAAAAAAGAGCTTACTATTAGGGGACTTGCTTTGCCACAGATCTGACCTGTAACCTGGCCTTTTAGAGTTACTAGTTTGTCTATGGAAACAAGCTGTGAAGGCAAAACAATAACACCACCATGGAGACTAGCAACTGGTGGACTCTGCACCAAGAAAGTTACATTTCGAAATTGTTAAAAGAAATTTAGAAATAGTTTGGACTGTAGAGAGGAAGAATGGTGAATATGTGGGTAGATGGATGCTTTGGTTAGAGCTGAGGGCCTAGAGGAATACTCAGGAGGAGATTTATAGATGTATAAAATTATACAGGTAGCACAAAATGCTTTAATTCCACAAAAATGAATACAAACATTTTGCAGCAGCTTTTATTCAACTGTATTGTGCGTTAACATTATGCTTATGGAGCTGATTGTTCAACAGAAACTATAATGTAGAAACTAAAAAAGAAAAAAGAAAAAAAAAGAAACTAATCATAATTATTTTAAAACATAAATTCACATATATTTCAGTTCAAGGCGTGAAACTTAATAAAAATAATCCATGAGAAATTCTGGCAACTGATTGATCAGCTCCACAAAAAAAGTCCAAGTCCATAATGACATCCAAACATGCACAGCAGCGATGCCCAAGAATCATGTAAAACTCTAAATGAACCCAAATGGATAAATACTGAATTCTAGATCTTTTAGAAGTTGTGGCAAAATAATAACCAGCTGCCAGTTTGTGAATTTACCAAAAAACTGTATTATAGGTATAGTAGGTAGCGGCATATCTATTCATACTAGTAGATCAGATGTACGCTAACTGAAAACATGCCTTTTGTGAATGCTTGACAAATAACTGCCAAATTTGCTTTGACATCAGTTATTAGGGATGGGGGATATGCCAAAAAAATTATATGGCACGTTTTAGAGCATAGAGCATTATTCCTAAACAAATTACCATTATTTTGCCTTTTAAAGGTCCTATATTACGCACTTTTGTGAGGTTTAAGCTATATTATAATGTCATCAAAAACATATCTGGAGTTGTGTTTTATTTCATTCACACATGTTGGAGTAATCCTACATCTCCATCTCCATCTCCAAACTCAAAATACTCTGTTACACCTTGTGATGTCATGTGATGGTAGTTGTCAAGTTAACAGCTACCTTTTACCTTTAGTTCAGTAGAGATTGGCAATCCCAGAGCTGGAATCATTCAAATGTTTTTAGTGATGGAGTATAGAATTTAAAAACACAGTGGAACACTTCTTGTATTTGAGCAGTTTTCTGTTTGAGAGAAGAACTGAGCCTAAATATGCAGGGTTTGTGTGATAAACATGTGAAAACTCCAGGTATGTTTTTGATGAGAAAAGAACACGATAATATAGATCAGAAAATATTCTTTTATGGGCCCTTTAAGAGGTAACAAAAAGGGTTTTTTTTTCTTCTGAAAGTTCACAATTTACTCTGATTGGTCAAAGGTCCTATATTCTGCAAAATTGACTCCATGTTATAACCTCATCAAAACCTGCCTGGAGTTGTGTTTTGTTTTTTCATTCAGAAATATTTAAGTAATCCTGCATTATTACTCTTGTTTACATTTCCAAAGCTCAAAATGCTCTGTTCCACCTTGTGATGTCATGAAGCTGTAGTTTTCAAATTAATAGCTGTGTTTTACCTCTTGTTCAGTAGAGATGGGAAGTTCCAGGGCTGAAAAGGACTAAATGATTCTAGTGGAGGTGTGTGGAGTTTAAGAAAATAGTGGAGCACTTCCTGTATTAGTACATGACAAAGTGTTTTCTGTTTGAGAGAAAAACTCAGCCTAAATGTGCAGAATTTGTGTTAAACATGTATGAAACAAAACACAAATTCGGGTACGTTTATGATGAGGAAACAACATTATAACATAGATCAGAAAATAGTGTAATATGGACCCTTTCGTCATAGGGACCAAATCACAATTCTTTCCTTTTTATTCATATCGCACAGCCCTGTATATGATGAAGAACTGCTGTGGGTTTTTATAGACTGGTTGTAATACATAGTACAAATATAACTACTGTACATGCGTTTGTTTACCCAGAGAGTGAAGGCCACAACCACAGTGATTGTTTTTGTGAGATAAAGTGCATTTAAATTGAGCGTATAGGGACATTTACTGCACTGATTAGTCATCTTCATCACTGGAAAACTCATCAGGGAAAAAGTCCTGATCGAAGTCACCGTCTTCCTGATCCACGCCAAGAAATAATCTGAAAAACACGAAAATTCCCTTCTACTTGACCAATCATAATTATAGATGCACATAGATAGGCCTGTCACTATAATTACGACTTCAATATATGAAAGCAGGAACAATATACAGTACACTATGGCTCAATATTTATCGTGTGTACAATTTCTTTGCAAAAGTGGGGAGATTTTTTGCAAGTTTTATGTAATAAGGTAAGAGTTGAGCTGTAGAGGGTAGAATAAATAACTTCAATAGCTAAATATTGGTTCATTTTGCCATTAATTTGTTACGTCTTATGGTTTTTAATGATACTGTATATTTAAAAATGTGTTTACTGGGATTATCTTGCTTTGTGTCAGTGGCATAAAGTAGTTTCAATATCATTGTTTATCACATTATTTCTGTGTAACTATACATCGTGATTCCAAAGGTGGTGGTGATAGGATAATTTTTTGCATTCCTTTTGTATTCATCTGAAGTAACTCTAATCTGAATACCAGCAAAGGAAACAGTAGCTTTAATACATGTATTTATCTACACTGTTCACTGTTCTTGCCCTAAGTTTCTGTACAATACCAGAGCAATAGTTTCAAATGTGGTTTAAAATGCCTGACTATACCATAATATAGGAAAAAATACAGATTTTTTTAGGCTTCAACTATATAAATATACAAGATAAACCTATTTTCTTTATATTTTCTATTCCATTGTGGCAAATCATTCACTTTTCTTGAGACTAGTTTAAAGGTGCACTGTGTAACTTTTGGTTAGGGGTCCGTCACCTTCTTGTTTCTATGGATATGTCATTGTTCTGATTGGAATGTTCCATAGTATGACATGTGATTTAATGCCTCAAAAATACCTAGAAAAACAGGCATTCTGACTGTGAGCGGGGTCGCCTCTCCACAGATCTGCCCCGTAACTTGATCTAGTTTGGTCTCCGTGAAGATACAGTAGAAAGGTTTAATGCCATACTGTGAAACATTCCAGACGAAGCAATAACATCTAAATAGAGAAAAGCATTTGACGTACCACGAGAAAAATGAGAAAAGTTACACAATGCACCTTTAAGAGAGCTAGTTTGATATTATTGGGGCATGATTGCGTTTGAGCAGAATACTCACTGATTGAAGCAGGGAGACTGGGGGTTGTTGAAGTGGCTGTAGGGGTTTCCTCGGCTCAGCACTCCCATACACAGCCAACAGAAGTACTGCTTACAGGACGTGCAGGTCATCTTATTACACCCATCCACTTTCTACAAAACAAGAGACAACCATAACAAGTCAAGAGACCGTTCTATTTTATTTGTAATTGGTGGTTTTCTGATTCTACCGTGTGATTATGTCATACTCTCAGATTGGGGGCATGAGACAGATTTTCCTATTGATTACACTGTACTTTGCAATAAAATATCCAAATGGTAAATTCAAAAATGTTGAATCTCGTATTTTCAATTGACTGAACCCAAGAAAATTATTACAACACAATTTTGCATTTTAACAATATTCATTTTAGCTGCCTCCAATCTGTATTAATTTATATTGGCCAGTAGAATAGTGTGATGCCATCTGAAACACAGTAATATACATAATGTAGGTGTATTATTTTTAAACAAAGATCACATATCAATCAGATAATGTTGATTCCAGCTAGGGCTAGGCGATTAATCAAATTTGAATTAAGATCAAGTCTAAAAATCAGATAATAGTTGCTTTTTAATCATGAGGTCTTCCTATTTGGAATGTACCGGCTAGCACATTAGCTAAGACTATTTATATATACAGTGTATGGTTCTGACCTGTATGTTGGTGCCACAGCGGGGACAGTTCTTGCAGTTCTCACTGAGCCAGTCTCGGCTGAAGGACTCCTCCACGGCTCTCTGAATCACCCTTTTACCAAACCTCATCTCCATAAACTTCTTCCCGTCTTCACTGGCCGCCAGGTACTCGTCCCTGAGATCCCGAAGCTCCTCTGAGGAATGCAAAGATTATTTAATAAATATGATAACATGCATCACAATAGCTTGGTTTAGTTCAGTACAATGCCACTATATTTATACAGTGACATTGTGAACCTCTGCTGAATGGGCAATGTTCTGCATTTCAGAGACATGCTACCAATAAGCGCTTGTGATTGGATTATCAAAGAACTTACTATATAGTCTATGGCTGTAGGCCTTGTTCCAGACCCCTCTGCATCCAATTTGAATAAAAAGTAGGATGAGCTGGCTTGCCATTGTACTATATTTTTAACCTGTATATTGTATTTGTAAGGGTTACGGGTCATCATTGAGAATACCAGGCTATTTGTGTCCATGAACCTTTTCAGTGCATCTTTACCTGTGGGCAGCTTGCAGTGGGACACCCCGTGGTAGCCCATCTTACAGAGCGTGCAGAAGGCGTACTGGCACCCAGAGCAGATGCCCATGGTGGATTCGGGCTCTACCATCACGGGTGTTCCACACGACACACGGGGGCAGTACACCACGTCAGCCATCAGGTCCAGAGTGGACTGGAGTAGCAGGCGGTCGTAACGAGCAAACAACTCCTCACCCACCAGATGCTTCACCTGCAAAAGACATAGGGTGCTTCAAAGATATACAAGTAAAAAGAATACCTTTATAAAAGTATGAGGCATTCTTTTCCCAGTTATGTTATTTATTTCCAGCAGTTAAACTGTAAATCAGACACTCTGATTGGACTCTATATTACTTGACTACAATTACAATCTACTGTTGTAATAAATTGTGGTGGCCACGTGTTTTTATGTATAATGACAAATAAACAAATCTAATCTAATATTAGTTTTGAAGATATGCTGTTCTTACCTTCCCAAATAATTCAGAAATACTGTACAGTAAAACATCGTAACAGTAGATACAAATGAAATCTAGAATGCATTATTAAAGTATTCAGTTTATTCAATGCAAACTTCAGAATAGACCTAATCACAATTAACACAGGTACAGTAACACAAATATAAATAGCTAGAGTAAAACAAGACAAAGTAATCGCCTCCCTGATTACCTGTAGTGGTGTGGCCACAGAAGAACATTTGGGCTCGGGGCAGTTAAGGCACTGAACGTTTCCATCTTTGATTTGGATTTGAAAGTACTCGCTCATGCAGGCATTACAGTAGACGTGCTGGCACTCTTTGAAACAGAGACAGGCTGCGCCCAGTTTCTCATTGAAGCAGATGCCACAGCAGAACACCTTCCCATCAAACAGTCTCTGTCGCTGGGCCTCGTCATGATCCAGGAGCTGAGGCAGGAGGTCCATGCGGGGGTCCAACAGAGCAACGGCCCGTGGATCGAGAGAGGTCATGGAGGAGGCGGAGGAGGACGGGTCAGAGGGTTTCTTTACTTCACCGTTTTTCTCCTCTCTCTTTTCTGAATTCAAACATGATACATAAAGACATCAGTTAGTCACAAGATGTTTAAAAAGATAGGATAATATTGCATAAGCATGACCTTTCCACATCCCCAGACATGAGGCAAATTCTGTATGTTTAAATCAAATGTAAGTTTCACTGAGAATAACTGTAATGCTGATTTATTCTTCACTGTGTTACCATGAATCTAGTACTGTTTATACTTGATGGCCAACCTGCTTGTTATAATTTGATAATATGGTGTTTAGGTTCTCGAGACGATTAGCCAATCAGAAAGCAGAATGAGCCTCACATGACTTTCTTATTGAATTGGCAGTTTCAATGTTCAAATCGCACTGGTTAAAACATAAAAGGACTCTCTCACATCTGAATGGTCACTACTATAGCTCAGTACTAGCAGACAATCATTACTCAGTGCTAGTGCAGCTCAGTAAGGGAATTCTGAAGTTTTAAGCTTTCATATAAGGCCTGTCTATATTGAGAATGAGGAAAAACAATCTATAAACATCTATACACAGGTTTAAATTCCTATTTGTAATTAGATTGGCCAACCCAGCCCTGTGGTATTCTCACATAACGGCACTAGATGCTATCCACGTTACAGTCTGACAGCGTGTCAGCTTTGGCCTGACAGCAGAAGACCCGAGATTACAGGTGAGCCTGAACAAAGGCACGGATTTATGCATTAGCTATTCTTCACTCAAATGTTTATGCCCTCGGTGGGCTTAAAGTATGCACTATGAACTGAATATTAAATTGAAAACAAAAGGCTAAATACTCCTAAAAAATCCTCCTCACTGTGAGATCAGAGGACTTAAAAAGGGGAAACTTTGTAACTTTGGGGAGTTTCATACTGTACCTGGCTCAGGTTTTTTACGTTCGCCGCTGGACTTTGCTCTGTGGACCTCCAGGGGTGACTTGATACAGAGGTAATCCACTGTCTCCTCTTTAAGAAACTGAATCCAGGTGAAGAGAATGACACAGCCCTGGTTTTCCTCCCACAGTTCATCCAGACGTCTGCAGAGGGCGCTCATCTGCGGAGTAGTAATATAATGGTATAAGGTCTTTTCATAACTATATAATATGATATAAGAGATGGGAGCTAGATTTTTGTTGTCCCTCTGGCTTTCTGTTGCATTGGCCCAGACTATTATAAGTAGTTATTTTGGTATAAGTATAAAACATCCTCTCTATACAAGATAGTATTGAATTTACTGTTCAGAAACTTTGCAAACTAAAAATAGTGACTTTGAGTAATAATAAAAATGCTACAAACAGCAAACCAAACAGAAAGCACACAGACTTGAGAGGGATACCTGAGCTCTTGTCATCCATTTGGAGCTGAGTGTGTATTGTGGTGGAGATGTCGATGGATAATCTTCAGGAAACTCAAAGTTAAGCACCAGAGGAGGTAGGAAGCAGACATTGTATTCGGTTTGCTTGTCTCCTGTGACACAAACAAAACAATTTAAGAATGCATTAACAAACTTTCTGGATAGTTAAGGTGGTAAAGAGTTGCCTGACCAGCCAATCCCTTCTACATTCTGTCTGAATCCAAAAGGAATTGAAACCGGACAAGAGAGGGTGAAAATCCTCTGTCCTAACTTAAGATATTCCAACCACAACCGCTAATTCGTAGCATGTGTCTCTCAAATGAAGAAGCCATCCTCTCTCCAAAATTCTCATAACATTCAGAGCAAAATATATAACTTCTTTTTTCTAAAATAAATAATAGTTTGGTGCTTTGATTGTTGATTCTGAGGAAATCCATGCTGTTTCTCAGTCCTTTATATTGTTTCCCTCCCTTTTTACCTCTAAAAGACCATGTTTGGTTTTAAAAAAAAGGGACCATCTCTCTGATTGGTTCATTCGCCTGTCAATCATCTGCCTGTCAATCACAGCCTCTGAAATCAGGTAGACGGGATACAGCTCCAGATTCATTCATCTTTGTAAAGTTTTGTCAAAGCGTGTGGTTCTGGCTGGCCAGGTATGGTAAAGAGGGTTTTGACCAGGCTTTATTTGACTGGACAGTACAGTGTGAATGGGGGGTGAAGAGCGGAGAAACATTTAGCAGGTAGTTGCTGTAGTGTTGCGCCACACTATGACCGAGATAGAGCTCATCAAATATCTTGAACTCAGTACTGAGCAAAGTCCAGGATTAGTACAGTTATTTTATTGTTTAGCTTTGTTATTACAAAGCACACACGTGTAGCACTACCTGGGGTTGAAAGGAACTAATTATAAATACTCACGTTACTCTAATTGCTTACATTTTTGAGCGCATTTTTAAACCTATGCTTGTACTTGTAATTGTCTATAATTCTAACTATTAATTTAAATTTGTTACACTTTAAATCATAGAAGTTATTACTGTACAAGTTCAGTTGTCCCAATCCACTGCTGTTTCACCTCTGTCTCTGTTCTTTTCTAAACTCATCTCAAACTCACATAAAAGCTCTACATCGCCTGTTTTGATTGGCCAGAGCTCAGGGAATACATGGACTGTGGTTTAAAACAATCAAATGTTTACACTGACTGGTCAAGTTTTTCTATAAAAGTATGATCTAAAATGCTTCCAAAACTTGTGTTTAAAAAGTTACTTGTAACTAGTACTCCAGGTAGTATTTTACATATTTTTTGGATGCAGTACTTGTACTTGTAATTGAGGACATTATTAGGCATGTAACAGTACTTCTACATGAGTACAAATTTTCAGAACTCTTTCCACCAATGAGTACTATTAAACACAACATCATATTACTATAGGGTGAGGAGCTCAGTCACACGGGAGGAGCTCGGAGTAGAGCCGCTGCTCCTCCACGTCGAGAGGAGCCAGTTGAGGTGGCTCGGGCATCTGTTCCGGATGCCTCCTGGGCGCTTCCCTAGGGAGGTGTTCCGGGAATGTCCTGCCGGGAGGAGGCCCCGGGGAAGACCCAGGACACGCTGGAGGGACTATGTCTCTCGGCTGGCCTGGGAACGCCTCGGAGTCCCCCCGGAGGAGCTGGAGGACATGTCTGGGGTGAAGGAAGTCTGGGAGTCCCTGCTTAGGCTGCTGTCCCTGCGACCCGGCCCCGGATAAGCGGACGAAAATTGATGGATGGATGGATGGATGATGGAATACCTTTTGTAACTACTTTGAAATCCGCGGGAAGCTCCACACACATCTGGACCTCTCCTCCTTGGGTACCCTCGGCTCTGCGAAACTCCTCTTCATCGTAGATACTCGCCAAGGCAAGCAGCTCATCCTCCTGCGCTTCCTTATCCTCAGACATTTACATACCTGCTATGACAAACACACGAGTAATGACAGCGTTAGTGCAAACAATATCTACATTGACTACTACGACAACTAGTATGTTAGATCCATACAATCAGCAATAAATAACGCTAATGGGTTATTGAACTTTACAGGCTGAAGGATGACGTAAAATGAATGTAACGTCAGATTTGCTAACAGGCTAACAGTGAATTCAGAAGAGACCAAGAACCAAAAGCATATTATGAGAGTTTGTTTATAAGTAAAATAATATGGCAAAGTTAAAATCCAGTCATTTTCAACAAACATACGGGATGTCATGTGTGATCAAACTAGTTGCTGTATTATAAATAGCCCCGGCTAACTTAGCTCTGCAAGTACATGTAAACAATAACTACGTAAGCCTTTAAAATTTACATATTATCGTTTGATCGACTTGAATACAGCTGTGCCATCAGTATGTGCGTGTATTACCGTGAAAAAGTGATTATAAATGAGTTAATAACACATATTCTTACCTTGAGGTCCCAAGAGCTAGCGATTGGCTTCTGCCCTGTTTGATTCACGTGGGTTGCCAGATTCCGGGGTAGTTTCCAGCGCAATCGCCGAAACTCCGCCCCCACTGGTATAGTTTTAGTTTAGCAGCCTTGGTTTGCCTTTTGTCATGTGAATAAAGTTAACAGTTTAGACAAGGAATGAATACAGTAAAAAAATGATATAATGGCGTATTAGTTATGCCACAGAACATTTCGATTTTTGCGAATGGGCTACGTTTTGGCTGCCATTTTAATAAATATTCACTAAAATACCAAAATAAGGCCAGGGCTAGGTATACACTTCTTTTTGAGCATTTACACAGTTAATCAGTAAAACAAAAACAAACAAAAAAAGTGTTTTTGGCGTTTAATGTCTCTGTTAACTGGAAAATCTGCCTTTAACTAGACTCTTTTTATGAGGCTACAAATATTGTTTGCTTACAATATTATGCATTTTTCATAATTTTAGGTAATATTCTGTAAAAATCCTAATGTACAATTGGCTTGATCCTGTTTTAATCCTGGTCCCAGTTTGGTCCCAGTGTGGAGTGACCAGACATTCATTTTTACAGAGTTTTGAGCCGTGTCTAATGTCCCAGCACGTTTATCCAAACACCATTGATTTGTTCCAGTTTTATACAAGAAATATCCCAGGTGTCCCTATTCTTGATCAATTTGATATCTGCCAACAGTAAAGAGTGGCATACATTGTCATTTGTTTAGGTAAATTACAGAAAAGCTATCAGCGTATGTGTGCGCACTCATACCTATTTGCCAAACCTTTTACTGCACCACGGTTCTTCCGTTTAGTATATGAAATAGATTATTGTTCATATTATATTCCTTATCTATGACTACTTGTACAGCCCTGGTACTTCAGATGAAAAGTACATTGTTTAACTGCTACTTCCAAATCTCAAATCCTGTCCCTTTACCCTATCCAAAAGTTGCTGTAATTTCAACATATTAAACTCAAATGATGCCTTGTCATAGTAATTTATATAATTTTTATTTTACACTTCGATTTTCTTGTGATGCGGAGACAACATTAGCACCCTTATTTTTATAATATTGAGTTGTTGGACCAGCCTTCGCTATATTTAGAAGTAGAAAAAATACAACAGGTACAATGAATGGCAAAACAAAATACTGCGTGACACTGAGTCGTAGTATCAACTAGCTTTAACGGACAGTACAGGTAAAGTGAACAGAAACATTCCTTTAACAAAATACACTGGTATGCAGCAGTTGCAGTTATTTAAGTGAAAAAGCTCTATTGTCATATACAGCCCTAGAACAATCCACATAGTTTACAATAGTCTCAAAACCTCGCTTACAGCTATCATATACATAAAATGTTTCAGTAATCCTGGGTAGCTCCTTTACTGTTCCACATCTTAACAGTTTTGTACTCAAAGCATAAAACAACCATAAGAATTATATTAATATGAACTTAAATGTCATCAGCAACACAGAAAATAAAGCCATTTTCCAAAATACACTCACAACTTTTTAATCAATATCAACATTCTACCTATGTAATGTCTAAATCAAAATTATATATAAATTAAACCATGCCAACAGTCGGCCGATTTAACAAACAGTGCTGGGTTTTGTACAGCCGTCTTGTTTCTTGAAAAACAAAAAGCTACTGCCACCATTTTACAATCTTAAAAGATCGGCTATCTGGACAGGAGCGGTCGGACGTACAGAGGAAGGGAACTGCGGTTGTTGGCGTAAAGGATTTAGTCAATGTCCATTTGGGGAAGTTTGCTTTCCGGCGTCTCCTTCCCTTTGCCTGTGGGCGTGGCTTTGTCCTCTGCAGGAGCGGGCTCTTCGTGTCCGTTCACCGGCCCGTTCGTGGTGGGTTTCTCCTCTTTCGGTGACTCCACCTTGGGTTTTGGTTTGGAGATGACGGGGTTGCAGGATGAGTATAGCTCCTGTAAAGACAGAGAAGAAACAAGTCGTTAATTACTTGGCCAGTCACTGGTTGCATTCACGTGACGTCAACATAAACTGTATTAAGAAGTGGACTAAGTGAGTGTCACCCATGGCATTCGGCTCCAGTCAAATGAAACTCCTCAAGGCTAGGAATATTTGGAATTTTGACCGCGAATATCATAGCAACCAAAGAGCCAATCAGGCGTGCAGCTATTGAAGGTAACACCTCTTTCCGCCTGCACTGCTGGTTTAGCAAGGGGCAGGCACTTAGCAACGCTGTCAAACAAACCAGACAGACTTTTTGAAATGCCTCACTATGGCCAAAATACAATTATTTTTCAATTTGCAAAAGACCAGACAAAAACTGAGATAATGCATGAAACTGTTTAAGTAAGTTTAGTAATATTTTTGTATAGTGGGAGTCACAGTCACCAACACAAGCCCTGGTGACACTCCCTGGCTGGTAGTGAAACGTTGGCTTCTGAACTAAGTCCAGCTGTTTTAGTTTTACTCTTTGATACACCTAAATATATGCCATAAGCAGCACAAATTCCAATAATGCATGTGTCTCCTTACCTAAGTTATTGTTAGTACCATTAAAGGTGCATTGTGTAACTTTTCTGGCAGAGGGTCATCAAATGACATATCCATAGAAACAAGCAGGTGACGATCCCCAACCAAAAAGTTACCTAGTGCACCTTTACGTATTTAAGATACTGAAAGATTATTTAAGATTACATGTTACCCATAATCCCTAACCCTTACCTTGGCCTTTCCGTGGATCTCTGTGACCTTGACCACTGGGTCCACAGTCAAGTCTTGACTGTTCTGTTGGTTCATTTTGCCGTTCATCCAAACCATGGCGTCGTTCACCTGTTTCTCCACCCGGGTCACCTCCAACTCATCCAGGTGATTGTACAGCTCGTCCTGTAGATATATGGATCATTCTAATTAAAAATACAACATAAAAACTCAGCAGGAATGATTTTTTATGATAAACAACTCCTACCTTTGCTTTGTAACATTCAATGACCTTCATGTATTGCTGGATCTGTCGGCCAAGTTCCTCAAACGCTCTCGGCCTCTCCTCTGCCTCCATGTACCTGTCACAGATCGGCTGGCCCATTTTCTGTCGGGGCAAAAACAAATCGTTGCTACACAAGAATACATTAAGTACATTATTTTAAGTCATATCGTTAACAGTTACCTTAAGTTCAGCCAGTTTGTCAATGTAAACTTGTTTCTGTTGGTCCTCTCCGTCTTCATAAAGCCAGTTCTCTGTATCCTCCAGTTTCAATGAGAATGCATCACGATCCTAAAGAAGGTAAGTAGATACATACTTTATTTTTCAAAAAGGGAACACATTTTTAGGTAGTTAGAATTTATACTAGACAGAAAAAAAAATAAAAAAAATTAGAAGCCAAACACTATTAATTTAACAGCATTTTCTAACACTCCTGTAGAAGCAATTCATGAAATTATCACATAGAAAACATCAATTACAACAACAACAAAAAAAACCAAATCATCATTATAGTGTTCTATTTTAAACTCACAGCTTCAGTAACGTATTTCTCCAAGACGCCGTGCAGTTTGTCCCTCATCTCGTAAACATATTCTTCTACATTGTTCTTGGCGTCATTTCTCTCCTTTTCCAGCTTGTCCTGCATGATCATCTTGCCCTGGAAATGTCACAGTAAAACAGGTGAATACAAAACCAAAAAATAGAGAATGTATCAAATACTAAAATATATGACCAAGTAGAGAAGTGAAAGGGCCCATATTACGCTATTTTCTGATCTGTGTTATAATATTTTCTCATTAACAACATGCTCGGAGTTCTGTTTTACTTCATTCGCACAAGTTTTACACTCGAACCCTGAGTTGTTCTCTCAGTCAAGAAACACACTCTTCCACCTTGTGATGTCATATTGTAATACAGGAAGAGCTTCACTGTATTTTTAAACTCAGCATAGCATTACCAAGAGCTTTATATAGCTCTACAGCTTATTAAGGGTTAAGAAATCTAGGAAACTCTAGCCCAATGTTTTTCTCCATAGTATTTTTTTTTTATCTTTCTTTGTTGCAGTTTTTGTATTTGCTCACTATATATAAATAAATATTACAATGAATAAAATTATATTCAATTAACATGTATAAAAAAAAGATTCTTGCTCATACTGAATACACTGGGAACAAGCACAGACTGTATAAAGAAGACTAAGGGAGTGACATCACCCATAGCGCTTGGCCCCAGTCAAATGAAGCTCACCATGGCTTGCAGTTCCATATTAAAAAAAATAACTCATTTACTGACAAAATAGCAAAATAAAAACACCCCAGATAATGTAGAGCAGGTAGAGTGAGCATGAGGGCATACAGACATTTTAATCAATGAATATGATAGGAATAATAATACTTTTTATTCTGTATATCTTTCTATGCCTGCTGCTTGGACTATGGCTGTCAAATAAACAGTCTGTTAGCGTGCTCCACATTCCTGGTGGTTTTTGGAGCATTACCTCATTCTCCACAAACCCATTGAGCACGTCTGTGGACAGCTGCCAATGCAGACTGTTCTCAATGGGCAGCTCCACCGTCTTCGTCTTAACTTTGGCCTTTTTGGGCTGAGGCGGTTCGTTCTTCTTCTCCTCCTTTGAATCCTCTGTTGATGTCTGGAAAAGGGAAAGAGATGGTGATTGACTTTTTGTGAAAGATTATCGCTGAATACATCAAAAAGAATAATGCATTTTGTGAGCTGTTTGACCAGAAGGGGGATGAAGGAACATGAATACAAGTTAGTTGCCTAGTTTAGTACAGAGCTTTTTAGTAATTTAACTTAGACATAAGTAGGCACTGGTTAATTTTATTTTAACAAAGCATTTAGTGTAGGATGGAAGTTAATGCTGTTAATGAAATATAATATAGTGCAGTGATTATTAGATGTTACACATATTTCTGTTGTTTCTATCGTGTTGGCTTTTGTGTCCTGCGATGTAAATAACAGCTGACAATATATAATTACTGGTAAAGTATTTGTATGTCCATTTTTATGCTGGATCTTTGAGAAAATGTCTTTTTTTTCCCATTTTTTCCCTTCCTTAATCCAGATGCCCTTCCTGTCACAACACTGTTACCTTACTGTGACTGGAGATGGGGGAAGGCCAATGTAAA